CACCTTGAAAGCCATTATTTGCTCTGATGCAGCTTCTGTTCTACATAAATCAAAGGTTCTGTCGAAGGAAAGCCCACAGATCTCCCTTTAATATAAGTCGCACAACCCTGTCTAACAGCTATTCTAGTTCTTCCTGCTGGCATTTTTTCTTGTTGAAAGTTTCCTTTATATAAGGTGTCCAAAACATTCTGTAGCCCAAAAAAAAAAGAAAAAAACGTAACCAAGTTACTGTATTTCCGCCAAGTACATCACCTGTTACATCCTGCTGTTGAGATTTTATAGATAGAAAACAAAGCTGGTTCCCTTTGAGCAAGAGGCTTTGTTTTGTGGAATGAGGAAGGTGGGCCATAAAAGCTGGTTTAAGATTGTGATGGAATGAGGATATAGATAAGAAAAACATTGATTAAACTTTTAGGTGATTATATGAATACAGGTGGATTTAAAACGAGTTTAATGACCCTGAAAGTATGCTGATGTTTTAAAACATCTGTTGCTGAAACAAAAACAGAAACACAAAAGATGTTTGAATTTAAAGTTGTATTTAACCTAACTGCAATCAGTAACGACCAAAATACAATACAATTACTGGCAATCAAAATATACTCAAGTCCTAAAGAAATAGGAAGAAAATATATTAACCCTTTCTTCTCCTGTTATGTTATTACTCGCCGCTAGTGTTACTGCTCAAAGAGTCACATTTGTAAGAAGTGCTAATTTTCTTCAATTGCAATAGTTTGCAATATTTTTATAAGACCAGGCGAGGCAAGGCAAGTTTATTTATATGTGATAATTCAGTACTGTACATAACTGAACACAAGTGGCTATCTAAACTTGCACTTCAATGACTAAAATGTTTTTTCTGTTAGTTAGTAGGATTATTTTGCTTGGTGTGTGCTTACAAAAATGACTGTCATGAATTGCGGACAGATGGACCCAGTATTCAAGGAGAGACAGTCAGTAGGAAAGTTCAAATGTTTATTAAATAAAACAAAACAAAAGCGGACCTGTGGCTCGCGGACAGTGCAGGCAGGGGGGCGGGGCACCGCCCAATCTCAGACACTGTAGGGAGAGAACACAGGTAAGTGACCAAGATAAACTGATATATGATTATCTGGGTTGGTCACTTACCTGGTTTAACAGTCCAGACCACGAGTGTCCCCAGTGCTGCAGTCCCAGAGGTTATGCTGGAAGCTGATCCTGGTGAGGGATCCAGAACAGACAGG